ATACAAGGATCACAAGGTATGGAGAAAGAGATGCAGAAAGGAAGAGAGATCTTAGATTTGAGAATTTTACTGATCTGATCAAAACTAGAGAAGAAGCAGAGAATAATCGAAGAGAAGACTTTCTTTCTCGTCCACAATTCTTCGATCGAGTGAGTCCAAATCATTGAATTTTCTTGGAAATTGTACTTATTTGATTTCCATCACACACTTGGTTGTACACTTTGGTGGGACATACTAATCTCAATTCACAAAGTCTCTCCATGGCTAACCGCAGGAAAAGTACACTTGAGAATCTCGTTGATAATTAATTTCCAAAATAACGGTTGTTGACTTTGGTGGGACATCTGCAAAGATGGGCATCCCCTTGTTGTTGACTGAAGAAGAAAACTTGAGACTCACGTAAAACCCAAATCCCACCACGCTTCTAATATCACCCGCCGGAGCGTCGACGGGAACGTCACAGTCACTGGGTCGTCGTCTTCAAGAGCCTGTCCAGAAACAGAAACCTCAATCATGTCAACCCGGATCCGTTAAGCGTTGACCCGGCTCGCCGTCGAATACATCTGAGGAGGTTTCCGACTCAGGATAACTTCTTGGCCACGCAAGGATATGCATAGTTATAAATAGTCATAAGTAGTGTATAATTTTAGCTCCTACGTAGCACTTACCCTAATTAAAAATAAATAAATAAATGAATTCATGATCTCTTGATTACCTCTCTTTTTTTGTGATTGACAAGTAAAATATATTCAGGAAGAGATTGCAAATAACATTACAGTTAAAAGCATCATTCTCCTACGATTCAGAGAGATTTTGATTCTGCGATAGATCCTAAACAGCTAGCATCAACAAAGAATATACACATCTTAACAACCTTCTTGAGTAATGCATCAAAATTTTATTTTCCACTGACAATTTAGGTATTTGATCATATAAGATAACTCGAGAGACACGCCCACTTCTCTCTGGCTTTGATTATCAACAGTTAACAATAAATTTGCCACTAAGAGTATAACTAACCATATATAACCATATGAAAATGCCTTAGAGATCGAAGAACAACAGCATATATGCCACGTGCTACTCTTCTTCTTCATGATATTGATAAAGACAAATCTCTAAAATGAACTATTTTTACGTTTTTGTCCTAGAAATAGACTCAAAATTAATTTTTCTGGGAAAGAGATATTGGTTAAGCTTAACTATCCGATACACCAACAGATTAAAAACAAACGTGCTCTGTTCAAGTTTATACGGTTTAGTTCCGGTTTGGATAGAAACGTTAATAATCTTAGGTGGGCCACTTTGACGACAGAATCGCCATGGCTTGAGTGAGTGACCCAAGAATCATTCATAATCTCTTAAAAAATGGCACCATCAATCAAATCACGCCACGTGGCCGTAATCAGAGCTGGAGCCGCCGGACTAGTGGCAGCGAGAGAGCTTCGACGGGAAGGTCACTCTGTCGTCGTCTTCGAGAGGCAGAAAGGTGGGAGGAACTTGGATCTACACCGATAATGTCGAGTCGGATCCGTTAAGCGTCGATCCGACCTGAATCGTCGTTCACTCGAGCGTCTATGGCTCTCTCCGAACTAACCTTCATCGAGAATGTATGGGATTCAGAGACTTCCCATTCATGGTCCGATCCGGCGAATCCAGAGTTCCGAGGAGGTTCCCGAGTCACGGTGAAGTTCTAGCGTATCTGCAAGATTTCTTGATACCAATGGAAGTGTTACTGTAGATGATAACTGTGTTAGTCCATTGTACAAACACATCTTCCCTCCACTATTAGCGCCGTGGCTCTCCTTCGCCGGGATACCATGTAAGGTACAAAAGCTCTAAATCGGCATAGCTTTGGTTATCTGCTTGTTACGGTTCGGATTTTGAAGTCTATAAACAAGTTTGGATTTTTTTGCAGGTTATCTCCTCTACCGTTTCCTATGTTTGAGCTGCAAAGCAAGTGGATTGCGGGTGTTTTGTCTCGTCGGATCATGCTTCCTTCAAAGGAAGATATGTTAATGGAAATCGAAACCTTGTATGCAAGACTTGAAGGGGAAGGGGTTCCTAAGCGATATACTCACTCTTTGGGCATCAACCATGTAAGCAAGAGTCTCTTAACATGTTGAAAGCCAACACGGACACAGATTTATTTGTAATTTTTGGTGTGTGTTGTTCTTTTTGTCACAGTTTGAGTACAATGATTGGTTGGCTTCAGAATATGGGTGCTCAGGAACAGAGGAATATAGGAAAGAGATGTTCTTGATGAGTTTCATGAGGAAGATGGAGAATCCGGAGACGTATAGAGATGAATGGGAAGATCATCATCACTTGGTTGCTCAAGCTAACCATGATTTCTCTTTGTATATTGTAAAATAAAGATGAAAGCTTCTATTTCGTGTACAGCTCATCATCCTATGAGAGCTTGAGAACTGAACCAAACCTGAATCATATAACCTAATTCCTATGGTTAATATCTCTAATCTTGCCAAGACTTGTAACTCCTCCACCGTGTTGAGATCTAATGAAACACCAGAACCTCTGCAGTCTCAATACTTTCAAATCAAGTAGACTTGATACGCTAACCTCCCAATATAATCAAATCAATTTTCCAGCTTACTTGATAGACTCCCTCCCCCATCTGACTATTATATTAGATCATTATAGTAAACATAATTCATTGATCATCGTGTTGGCAAATATATAATATTATATGGGACAAGAATAAAAAGGTGCTTGCATATCCTGCATAAGACCAGCTAACTGGTTTGTGTACGCACTGAAACAATGTATATGGCATATGAAAACATTACAATCGACTTCAAACGTAACCATTGTATAAATGTTGATAAAAAATAAGACAGAAAAAAGCACACAGACAGCAACACACAATGAGTGGTAGAGATTTGAGAGAGTGAGAGACAGAGAAGAGAAGAGAAAGAAAAGCTTCTCTTTTGATTAAAGGCAAATGACATCTTCAACTTCCTCGTCGCTTGAATCCTCCTCCTCGCTATATTTCCAAGAAACACTCTGAACATGTACCATAAACAAAAAGACAGATGCATAAGAAAATGGAAGCGGTTCATATCCCGAAGAAAAAAAATCATATGAAAAGAAATAAGATAATACGAGAAATTATACCAATTTTCATGAAGATAAGAAGCGAGTTTTTGTAGCTTCGTCCTCCCATTCAACACCTTCAATCCAACTTTCCTCTCTGTATCCTAAGACGAGTCTATTTTCACCATGTATGCCACTTTGAGAATCCAATGGAAGCTTTTTCAGATTTGGACATTCGATTACATTGAATATCTTTAGACATGGAAAGCGTAGAGGATTCCAATAGATATTCTTTAGCTTGGGTAGACTCCGCAAATAAAGAGAAACCAGCTTTGCAAAAGGAACAATCCCTGATTCTTCAACTTCACAAGCTTTCTCTTTGTTTATTATATCTTCTAGTTGATCTGAATACCTAACTTCAAGTTCTTTAAGATTTGAAGCAAACATCAGCAACGTCAGCTCCCTCAGGCCTCGGCATTTATTTATATACACTTTGGAGAGGCTCAAGAAGCATGGCTCGCTCGGATTGTGTATAGGAGAAACCATATTGCTTTTGTTGCATATACTTCCCATCTTTATCTCAGGGATAGTGCAGTTCGTAATGATGAAATAACGAAGCTTGTTCATGGTCACTGGAATTGCTATTCCAGTTGATTCCAATTTCAAGATCTCCAGAAATCGTGTACAACTCGTCAACCTGAGAGAACTAAAAAATAGCTCCAGATGTGGTGGACAATGGATTTCTAGGGTTAAAATTTCTAAATGCTCCAAGGTTTCTAATTCCTCCACTATGCCGCGATCCCATGAAAAGCCACTTCCAGCTAATTTCAGGATCATCAAATTATGCAGATTTGATATCCCAGCAATACTCGAAAGCTGAAGTGTATGCTCGAGATTCAAGTGAATGAGTTTTTTCAACTCTTGTAGACCCTTAGGGAGATGACGGATACCTGTATCTGACAAGTTGAGATACTTCAAAGAAACTAAATCAGATACTCCATCCGGCACTTTGGTGAGATGTTCATTAAATGATAGATCCAACACCTGTAGCTTCGGCATGGACTTAAAGAATTTACTCGAGATATTTACCAATTCTCCCCGTTGCATGAGAAAAGCTGTGAGTTCGAGACATTCAGGACTGCCAGCTAGATTGCGAATCTTGTTCTTCATCAGTGACATTCTTCTCACACTGTTCCAATTCTTAACCTTTGGAATTTTATTTAACCCTACACCTGCATGCACAATGAAAGCCTCCTTTTCTCTTCCCAATTCAGATGCAATCCACAATGCCATTTCACGAACAACATCATGCATACGCACACATTCTGTTCCATATTGTTCAGCATCTTCCATCAACAAAGATGCACGAACAAGATCACCAATAATCTCATACCCCTTGTATCTGGCCCTCTCTATACCTTCACTTCCATCTATAATACATTCGCCTATCAAGTAGTCTATCAAATACTTTTTAGAAATCAGATCATCTTCTGGAAATAAAGCGCAATACAGCAAACATGATTTGACATCCTCGCCCTTAAGATTATCGTAGCTATACTTCAAAAGTGGAAGGATCTTATCTTCCATGCCAGAAAACTCTGTAGCGTACGAAGTCAAAACATTTATAGCGTGACGCCATTCTTCCACCGTCTTCTTGCATGACATGGTCTCCCCTATGACATTGAGCGCCAGTGGAAGGCCACCACATTTTCTAGCAACGTCTTTTGCAAGCTTGGGGATCTCTGGATCGCTGTCTAGTGTTTTTTGTCCAACCTTCTTTTGGAACAAATCAAATGCTTCAATTTCCGCCAAACATTGGACTTCCAATTGTTCTTCAGCCATCATCTCCGAACATACACCTTGTTTACGAGTGGTGAAGACTACTTTGCATCGGTTTTCTGGTCCTGGAAATGGGACTCCAATCTCTGTTAAATCCACCTTCTCCCATATGTCATCTAAAAACAGCACAAATCTCTTTTTCTTCAAGAAATTGTATAAATCAATGGTCTTTTGGCTCTTCTTTTTTTTCTCCCACTTCTCTCCATCAAGACCAACTTTCTGAGCGATTTCATCTTGAATCTTCTCTACATGTAACTCTTTAGACACCACAACCCAAATCACAAAATCAAATCCACACCTTTCTTCACTGAACTTATTGTTGATTTGCATGAGAAGCGTTGTTTTCCCAACTCCGCCCATACCATACATTCCCATAATACCAACTCCATCTTTCATGAGATGTTTCCATGCCTTATCGAGCATTGCTTCTTGACCAACAATTATCCGTGGAACTTGTATTTCCTCTATCACAGCTGTGTCAGCTTTATTAACTACTTGATCAGTAACATTTTGGAAAACTCTATTTTCGAGTTGCACAACATCTATCAACGACAAGAAAACCTTTTTCCCGTAACGGTAACTGGATCTTAAACTCTTAGAGCAAAACCCACAAAGACACAACCTTTGAAGTTGAACATCTCTAGCATCAAGAAGAGCATCAACTTTTTGATCCAAAGACTCAACTTTCTTAAGCCATACCTGGAATTCTTCCAGCCTTTGTCCACCTTTATCCTCCTCTCTTGTGGCCTTTCGTAATAAATCATTCCGCTTAGCCTTGAGCTTAACCATGCTGTTCTCCAGAGTGGCGAGATTCTTCTCAAGATCGTGAATATAACCAACTTTCTTGTCTAGCCATTGAGAGATTTTATCCATCCACTCATCACAGGATATCGAGCAAGTGATTAAATTCCCCATTTTACAGAAAGGGAGAAATCTGAAATCTGAAATTTGCTGATATGAGCAAACCAGAGACAATGCAGAGAATAATTGAAGATAAGACTTTCTTTCACGTCCACAATTCTCGACCAAGTGAGTCCAAATCACTGATTTTTCTTGGAAATGTTTGCTTATTTGATATCCATAATTCTCACGTTCACACATTTTGGTTGTTGACTTTGGTGGGACATACTAATCACAAAGTCGCTCTCCATGGCAAACCAAAGACGAAGAAGACTTAATATTTAATCCTTAATCCTTGTTACAATAAGCTTTTAATGATAAGCGTGATTATTCAGTCCCCAATCGAATATTTGATCAAAACCATTTACAGTATGCCACATTTGAAGCCTTATAGGAATTCATAAGCGATTTACACACTGTTTGGGGATTGACCAAGTGAGAATCTCTGTAAATTATGTTTCTCCATGTGAGACCAAATTCAAACGAAAACACGTTCATGTATGGGAAGATCATCACTTGGTTGATGAAGCTAACCAAGACTTGCCTTTGTATATATCAACCAAAAGATGATATAATATCTAAGACTATACGGTAAGTTAATTCTCTATAAAGGTGGTGTACCTCTGAATCAACAATGAATAAGCACTAGGTATTATCAGTTAAAAATCTGGCGCTAAGAGTAAAACAAACCATATTTAACAATATGAAAATGCCTTAGAGAAGAACAAGATCCCATTACGCCACACGCTACTCTGCTTCTGCTTCATAGTCATATTCTTCATCATAATAAGGATCTTCAAGTCTTTCTTTTTTGTACTTGGCTTCTTCTTCTTCTTCTTCAAGTCTTCTGGCCTCTCTAAAACCTTGTAGCCTTACTAGAATGGCAGCAGCATCCTCCTTGCGAGCACGAGATTCATTGCCAGCCTCAACTCCTCCAGGGTAATAATCCAACTCCTGCTTGACAAGCAAAAGAGAAAATTAACAAGTGAGAATGGGAAAGAATCAAATATGTAGTTAGACAATGACAAGGTTTCTTTTGGGGATAGATGCTTACTTCAAGTGCATGTTCTTTACTGAGGATATGCTTGGTGAAACTTTCAAAGCCTAAGAGACCAAGACAGCATCCTGAGCAATAAAATGTAGTTTTACCCGTTGTTCCACTGCACTCCTTCTTGGCCTCTGTTGGAGAAAAAAAACAAAACAAAAAAGAGCTTAATTTGGTGTGTGTTTGAGAGAGAGCGAGAGAGAGAGAGAGAGGAACACACCTGCACGTAAGCTCGCGAGTAAGCTTTCCCAGAGGAAGCACCCTGCACGCCTAGCGAAGACGGTGGGCTCTAGTTGACGATCATATGGAACTTTTGAGCCAAGAACATAGTATTTCTCCGATAGATCGGCAATAAACTGACCGAAGATCCTCTGAAGGGATATGAGCATGACATTAGCCGGAGGCGAATTATCCGACTTCCACATGTACACACTAGTCATAATAGATTTGTTATCTGTTCCAGAAAAAACAATACTTAAGACTCTGTAAAAACACACCAAAAGCAAGGAAAAAAGGTAAAGAGAGTTGAATCTAAAACACTTACACATGGTGGGGTCGTGGGGACGTGATGAAGGTTGATCCCAGTGGAAGAGAGGGCTCGAAGGACGTCAATAGGGACTTGTGATAGTATGCCAATGGCGGTGATGGTGAGATTACCGTTGTAACCTAAACTCTTCAATGCCCGTCTTATAAACGGACCCACACGACGAGCATCAACGTCGGAGGGAACAGGACACCTGCTTAGGTCCCACAAGACCCATGTTGCAAATTTGCAATATCAGCTTGCCTCTTCGTCGCCGCCTTAAGGTCCATCATCGTTCACCCTAATGAACGTAAACTAACGTAGGGTTTTATCAGAAGTAAAACATGTTACACATGTACGTAGAATAATATAACAACTCATTCGCATGATGAAGAAATATAAGGAACTAAACCGATTGGCACAAGGCTGAAAGCTGAAAGCTGAAAGGTGTTATTTGGGTTATTTGGTGTTAGGAAAGAGATCCTTATCATTAAAGCTTAAATATCTGATACACCAACAAATTAAAAAAAAATTTGCTCTGTTCTAATTTATACATTAGGAAAGTGTCTAATTGCTCCATTACACTGATATTATCTTATTTGTCCATACATTAAACCCGGTTTAGTTCTGGTTTTGATAAAAAATTTGATCCGTCGGTCGAAGCAACTTTGGTGGGCCATTTTAATTACCGAATCTCGTAAAAACCCATATGGCATCTTCGTCATCAATCAAATCACGCCACGTGGCTGTAATCGGAGCTGGAGCCGCCGGACTAGTGGCGGCGAGAGAGCTTCGACGAGAAGGTCACTCCGTCGTCGTTTTCGAGAGGCAGAAACAGGTCGGAGGAACCTGGATCTACACCGATCACGTCGAGTCCGATCAGTTAAGCGTCGACCCGACCCGAATCGTCGTTCACTCGAGCGTGTATGGCTCTCTCCGAACTAACCTTCCTCGAGAATGTATGGGATTCAGAGACTTCCCATTCGCGATCCGATCCGAATCAATTGATCCGAGAAGGTTTCCGAGTCACCCTGAAGTTCTAGCGTATCTGCAGGATTTCGCTAAGGAGTTTGGCATCGAGAAGCTGATCCGGTTCGAGACGACGGTCGTGCGCGTTTCTCCGGCGGCGGAAAGCGACGGCGGAGAAGGAATCGGAAAATGGAGAATCGAATCTACAGAGAAGGAGAAGAAAATTCATCGCGATGAGATTTACGATGCAGTTGTTGTTTGTAATGGACATTACATTGAACCTCGTCTCGCTGAAATTCCTGGTAAATTCTCAACATCTCGATTCTCCATAGTAAAGCTTGCTCCATCGAAAAACTTAGGATCGGATTTGAAAAATAGAAACTTCATAAAAACATTGAATCATTTTAGGGATAAGTTGTTGGCCAGGGAAGGAGATGCATAGCCATAACTATCGTCTTCCTTCACCATTCAAAGATCAGGTACTCAATTTTATTTTCAAAATTTCAGATATAATGATTCATTTTCATGGTGGAGAAGAGAATTGTGATACATTTTGAATCATAGGTTGTTGTGGTTATTGGAAGCTCTGCGAGTGCTGTTGACATAAGCAGAGACATTTCCGGGTTTGCCAAAGAGGTTCATGTGGCTTCTTGGTCAAATCCAGCTGATACTTTTATCAAGCAGAACGGTTACACTAACATATGGATGCATTCAATGGTGAGTTTCGCTACTACTTACCGTTGGTTCGATCGAGAGATGAACAACAGTTCTTGAAACGTTTTCTTGAATCTTTATGCAGATTGAGCGTGTCCATGAGGATGGTTCTGCGGTTTTTCAGAACGGGAAAACGGTTTTGGGTGATGTTATAATGCATTGCACTGGTTATAAGTATCATTTTCCGTTTCTTGAAACCAATGGAGAAGTTACTGTTGATGATAACTGTGTTGGACCATTGTACAAACATGTCTTTCCTCCAGCATTAGCACCGTCGCTCTCCTTCGTCGGGATACCATATAGGGTACAAAAGCTCTATATCATTCCTCTCAAGTTTTTTTTTCTTATCAAATTTGGATCTTTCAGGTTTTACCATTTCCTATGTTTGAGCTGCAAAGCAAGTGGATCTCGGGTATTTTGTCGGGTCGGGAAACCAAAACCATGAAGGCCACATTTGAAGGCTTGGGGATTCCTAAGCGATTTACGCACTGTTTGGGGATTGACCAAGTAAGAAGAGTCTCTGTAACTTATGTTTCTCCTTGTGCGACCAAATCCAAACGAAAACATGTTAAATGTTGTTTACTTTTGTGTTGTTTGTTTGACAGTTTGAGTACTATGATTGGTTGGGTTCACAAATTGGGTGCTCAGGAACAGAGGAGTGGAGGAAAGAGATGAGTTTGCCTATTTTCTTGAGGAAGATGAAACATCCGGAGAGTTATAGAGACGAATGGGAAGATCATCACTTGGTTGATCAAGCTTACCAAGATTTCTCTTTGTACATATCAACCAAAAGATGAGATTTTGTAAAATCAAATTATATCTTTGCTTTGTATCAGAATGCCTCTATTGATCAATGTACAAACTATATTCATAAGATTGCAAATGTTCAAATGCTTTGGAATTGAACACAGCTTCCATTAGACCATATGATAAACTAACCCTTTACTGATGAATGTAAGAAGAGTGAGTTTTCTTCAAACAGAGAAAAGGTAATGGACTCCAGTAGATGTTCTTCAGCTCCGGTACACCAGATAAGCCTAAAAACTTTACTTATACAAGCTTTCTCTTTGCTTATTATGTCTTCTAGTTGTGAAACTTGGATTAAACATCAGAGCACAATGATCACATGATATCGATAAAGAGATACAACTTCCCATATTTTAGATAAACAAGTGACATCCAGAGAGCAATCTGGTTTGATTAAAACCGAAGATATTATACAACTGATCAAATATTACACAGGGGAAAGTATTCCAATCAACTTCAAACGTACCCATTGTATAAATATTGCTGCAAATAAGAAAAGAAAAAAAAAAAACATAGAGAGAGAACCAAGTGGTGGTAGTCTAGTGATTCCCACTTGAGGCTGAGTTGCGAGTCTAGGCCAAACATAAAAGCAATTCTCATTTGACCACACGGATATGTGTCATTGCTTTTGGCCCATTTGAATTCCATAGAGAGAGTTCAATTTCCAACGAGCTGCATCAGAATATACCCGTTATACCTTGTGGCTGCCTTCCATACTCCCACTGTAAACATAAAAAAAAATAAAAAATTCATAAACCCGAAGAGAAAATCATATGAAAACAAAAAAAGAGAATACGAGATAATATACCAGTTTGCATGAAGATAAGAAGCGAGTTTTGGTAGCTTCGTCCTCCCATTCTACACCTTCAATCCAACTTTTCTCATTGCATTTTAAGATGAGTCCGTTTTCACCATGCATGCCACTTTGAGAATGGAGTGGAAGTTTTTTCAGATTTGGACAATCTCCTACATCTAATACCTTTAGACATGGAAAGCGTAGAGGACACCAGTAGATATTCTTTAGCTCTGGTAGACGCTCCAACTGAAGAGAAACCAGATTTGCAAAAGGAACAATCCCTGATTCTCCACCCTCACAAGCTTTCTCTTTATTTATTATATCTTCTAGTTGATTTGCTTTGCCAACATGAAGTTTTTTAAGATTTGAAGCAAACATCAGAAACGTCAGCTCCATCAGGCATCTGCAACCAAGTATAAACACTTGGGAGAGGCTCAAGAAACATGGCTCTCTCGGATTGTCTATAGGAGAAAGAGAAACCGTCTTGCTTTTGTTGCATATACTTCCCATCGTTATCTCAGAGATAGTGCAGTCCATAATGTTGAAATGACGGAGCTTGTTCATAGTTACTGGAAAAGCTATTCTAGTTGATTCCAAAATACAGATACTCAGAAATCGTGTACAGCTCATCAACCTATGAGAGCTTAAAAATAGCTCTAAATGTGGAGTTAGACCATCGAACCCTACAGTTAAAATTTCTAAATGCTCCAAGGTTTCTAATTCCTCCACTATGCCATGTTCCAATGAAAAACCACTGAAAGCTAAATTCAATATCATCAAATTACGCAGATTTGATATCCCTGCAATACTCGACAGATTACTTGTACTCAAAAGATCCAAGTGAATGAGTTTTTTCAACTCTTGTAAACCCATAGGGAGATGACGTATACCAGTACGTGACAAGTTGAGATATTGCAAGGAAACTAGTTCTGATATTCCATCTGGCACACTGGTGAGATGTTTATTTTGTGATAGATCCAACACAACTAGCTTCGGCATGGACTTGAAGAATTCACTCGAGATATTTTCCAAAAAAATGTTGTTTTGCAAGAGCAAAGTTGTGAGTTCGGGACATTCAGGACTGCCATCGAGTTTGCGAATCTTATTCTTCATCAGTGACATCTTTCTCACAACATTCCAATTTTTAACCTTTGGAATTTCACTTAACCCAACACTTGCATGCACAATGAAAGCCTCCTTTTCTCTTCCCAGTTCAGATGCAATCCACGAGGCCATTTCGCGAACAACATCATGCATATGCACTTGTTCTGTTCCAACTTCTTCCATCAACAAGGATGCACGGACAAGATCACCAATTATCTCATACCCCTTGTTCTCAGCCCTCTCTATACCCTCACTTCCATCTATAATACCTTCGCCTATCAAGTAGTCTATCAATTCTTCTTTATCAATATTATAATCTTCTGGAAACAAAGCGCAATACAACAAACATGATTTAACATCCTCACCCTTAAGGTCATCGTAGCTATACTTCAAAAGGAGAAGGATCTTATCTTCCATACCAGAAAACTCTATAGCGTACGAAGTCAAAACATCTATCGCGTGACGCCATTCTTGTATCGTCCTCTTGCATGACATGGTCTCCCCTATGACATCGAGTGCCAATGGTAGGCCACAACATTTTTTAGCAACTATTCTTGCAAGTTCAGGGATCTCCGGATGGCTTCCTAATGTTCTTTGTCCAACCTTCTTTTGGAACAAATCAAATGCTTCATTGTCCGCTAAACATTGGACTTCCATTGGGTCTTCAACCCCCATCCGATCACATACTTCTTGGGAACGAGTGGTGAAGGCAACTTTGCATCCGTTTTGTGTTGTTGGAAACGGGACTCCAATCTCTGTTAAATCCACCTTCTCCCATATGTCATCTAAAAACAACACAAATCTCTTTTTCTTCAAGAAATTGTACAAACGTACGCCTTTTTTATTCTTATCTTTTATCTCCCACAAAAATCCATCAAGACCAACTTTCCCAGCAATTTCATCTTGAATCTTCTCTACATGTAACTCTTTAGACACCACGACCCATATCACAAAATCAAATCCACTACTTACGTCGCTGAACTTATTGTTGATCTGTGTGAGAAGTGTGGTCTTCCCTACTCCGCCCATACCATACAAACCCATCATTCCAACTCCATCTTCCATGAGATGTTTCCATGCCTTTTGAAGCATCGTTTCTTGACCAACAATTGTGGGTTGAAGAGGTCTTTCTTCCATCCGAGGTGTTTGAGCTTCCTCAACAATCACTTCAAATTCTCTACTATGGAGTGTCTCAACCTCCTTTAACGTCAAGAAAACTTTTTTCCCGTAACCATAACTCGATCTTAAACTCTTAGAGCAAAACCCACAAAGACACAGCTTTTGAAGCTCATCATCTCTAGCACTAAGAAGATCACTGACTCTTTTTTCAATACTTGCAACTCTATTAAGCCATACCTCGATTTCGGCAAGCCTTTGCTGACCTCTATCCTCCCCTCTTGTGACCCTTTTTGACAGATCATCACGCTTAGCCTTGAGCTCTTCCATGGATGTCACCAGAGCCGTGAGATTCTTCTCCAGGTTATGTATACAAGCTACTTTCTCGTCAAGCCAGTTAGAAATTTTATTGATACAAGGATCACAAGGTATGGAGAAAGAGATGCAGAAAGGAAGAGAGATCTTAGATTTGAGAATTTTACTGATCTGATCAAAACTAGAGAAGAAGCAGAGAATAATCGAAGAGAAGACTTTCTTTCTCGTCCACAATTCTTCGATCGAGTGAGTCCAAATCATTGAATTTTCTTGGAAATTGTACTTATTTGATTTCCATCACACACTTGGTTGTACACTTTGGTGGGACATACTAATCTCAATTCACAAAGTCTCTCCATGGCTAACCGCAGGAAAAGTACACTTGAGAATCTCGTTGATAATTAATTTCCAAAATAACGGTTGTTGACTTTGGTGGGACATCTGCAAAGATGGGCATCCCCTTGTTGTTGACTGAAGAAGAAAACTTGAGACTCACGTAAAACCCAAATCCCACCACGCTTCTAATATCACCCGCCGGAGCGTCGACGGGAACGTCACAGTCACTGGGTCGTCGTCTTCAAGAGTTTCCCCAATAACCGAATACTTTTGTCTGTAAATACTGCATATTTTATTCCATCCATAAATCGATTTTCTTCCCTATGAGTTCTAGTCTCAATAAGAATGCTAGTTCTTACTGTTCATATGTTATGATATGAATATACCACACCAATTCGTTATGTATAGATGATGAGAAGATTCCATTGATACAGAGCCAATTCCAATAGACTTATTGGAGGGTCCCATTGGCGTGCATCCAGTAGGAATTGAACCTACGAATTCGCCAATTATGAGTTGGGCGCTTTAACCATTCAGCCATGGATGCTTAGTGGGGATCCTCGTACATGGTGAATAACCAAATTCCAATTGAAATGAAATCTTTAGGATAAATCAATGCAATTTAGGAGGAATCAATGAAAGGACATCAATTCAAATCCTGGATTTTCGAATTGAGAGAAATAGTGAGAGAGAGATCAAGAATTCTCACTATTTCTTAGATTCATGGACCCAATTCAATTCAGTGGGATCTTTCATTCATATTTTTTTCCACCAAGAACGTTTTAGAAAACTCTTGGACCCTCGAATTTTTAGACTCACGTAAAACCCAAATCCCACCACGCTTCTAATATCACCCGCCGGAGCGTCGACGGGAACGTCACAGTCACTGGGTCGTCGTCTTCAAGAGCCTGTCCAGAAACAGAAACCTCAATCATGTCAACCCGGATCCGTTAAGCGTTGACCCGGCTCGCCGTCGAATACATCTGAGGAGGTTTCCGACTCAGGATAACTTCTTGGCCACGCAAGGATATGCATAGTTATAAATAGTCATAAGTAGTGTATAATTTTAGCTCCTACGTAGCACTTACCCTAATTAAAAATAAATAAATAAATGAATTCATGATCTCTTGATTACCTCTCTTTTTTTGTGATTGACAAGTAAAATATATTCAGGAAGAGATTGCAAATAACATTACAGTTAAAAGCATCATTCTCCTACGATTCAGAGAGATTTTGATTCTGCGATAGATCCTAAACAGCTAGCATCAACAAAGAATATACACATCTTAACAACCTTCTTGAGTAATGCATCAAAATTTTATTTTCCACTGACAATTTAGGTATTTGATCATATAAGATAACTCGAGAGACACGCCCACTTCTCTCTGGCTTTGATTATCAACAGTTAACAATAAATTTGCCACTAAGAGTATAACTAACCATATATAACCATATGAAAATGCCTTAGAGATCGAAGAACAACAGCATATATGCCACGTGCTACTCTTCTTCTTCATGATATTGATAAAGACAAATCTCTAAAATGAACTATTTTTACGTTTTTGTCCTAGAAATAGACTCAAAATTAATTTTTCTGGGAAAGAGATATTGGTTAAGCTTAACTATCCGATACACCAACAGATTAAAAACAAACGTGCTCTGTTCAAGTTTATACGGTTTAGTTCCGGTTTGGATAGAAACGTTAATAATCTTAGGTGGGCCACTTTGACGACAGAATCGCCATGGCTTGAGTGAGTGACCCAAGAATCATTCATAATCTCTTAAAAAATGGCACCATCAATCAAATCACGCCACGTGGCCGTAATCAGAGCTGGAGCCGCCGGACTAGTGGCAGCGAGAGAGCTTCGACGGGAAGGTCACTCTGTCGTCGTCTTCGAGAGGCAGAAAGGTGGGAGGAACTTGGATCTACACCGATAATGTCGAGTCGGATCCGTTAAGCGTCGATCCGACCTGAATCGTCGTTCACTCGAGCGTCTATGGCTCTCTCCGAACTAACCTTCATCGAGAATGTATGGGATTCAGAGACTTCCCATTCATGGTCCGATCCGGCGAATCCAGAGTTCCGAGGAGGTTCCCGAGTCACGGTGAAGTTCTAGCGTATCTGCAAGATTTCTTGATACCAATGGAAGTGTTACTGTAGATGATAACTGTGTTAGTCCATTGTACAAACACATCTTCCCTCCACTATTAGCGCCGTGGCTCTCCTTCGCCGGGATACCATGTAAGGTACAAAAGCTCTAAATCGGCATAGCTTTGGTTATCTGCTTGTTACGGTTCGGATTTTGAAGTCTATAAACAAGTTTGGATTTTTTTGCAGGTTATCTCCTCTACCGTTTCCTATGTTTGAGCTGCAAAGCAAGTGGATTGCGGGTGTTTTGTCTCGTCGGATCATGCTTCCTTCAAAGGAAGATATGTTAATGGAAATCGAAACCTTGTATGCAAGACTTGAAGGGGAAGGGGTTCCTAAGCGATATACTCACTCTTTGGGCATCAACCATGTAAA